CAAGCTGAGAGTCGGGTCGTGGAACGTGTGCGGGTTCGCAAGGAGTGAGCGCAAGCAGTTGGAAATAGTGGACCAAGCTGAACAAAGCGATCTAGATGTAGTGGGGATCCAAGAGACGTGGAATTTGAAGGATGGAAANGAAGTCCGAGAAGAAGCGGAAGGCGAACGATAGAGTGCGCAGAATCTCCCAACAGGGAAAAACACCAGCTGAGAGTCGGGTCGTGGAACGTGTGCGGGTTCGCAAGGAGTGAGCGCAAGCAGTTGGAAATAGTGGACCAAGCTGAACAAAGCGATCTAGATGTAGTGGGGATCCAAGAGACGTGGAATTTGAAGGATGGAAACGTGGTCAGCAAACTAGGGAAATACCGGTGGGTAGGGAAGGCAAGAAAGGGCTTAGACCCGAAGAAAATGGGGGAGGAGGGAGTCGGATTCCTGGTCAAGGAATATTTGTTTGACGTGGTGGAAGTAGTGGTGAAATCGGAGTTCGAGGAAAGTCTATGGCTTAAGATACCTGGGGAGCGGGGTGAGAAAGATTTGTTTCTAGGGAACGTATACGTCCCACCGTCGTCGAAGAAAGTCGCAAGCAAGGCGCAGGAGAACTTTGGACAAATTGGGGAAGATGTCCAGAGGTTCAGTAGGAAGGGAGAAGTTGTCATGGTGGGCGATTTCAACTCCAGANAATTGGGGAAGATGCCCAGAGGTTCAGGAGGAAGGGAGAAGTTGTCATGATGGGCGATTTCAATTCCATAGTAGGAAAAGCTTCCAGTCGAGGACATGCAATCGGGCAGCACGGAGAAGACAAAGTGAATGACAACGGAGTGAGGATGCTTGAATTCTTGGGAAGCAACGAACTGATGGTGTTGAACGGTAGGAGGGAATGCGATAAGCCGGAGTTCACAAGGCAACGGGCAGTTTGCAATGAATACTCAATCCTCGACTACATCCTGGTAGACAGGGGGAGCACGCAGATCCCAGAGCTGCACATAAGTGCGATAGATATAGGTTCGACCGACCACTTCCTCATATGGGCAAACATCGACCGATCTAAAAGAAGGAGAGTAAGAGACAGAGGAAAGTGTTCCGGTGGAAAATAGAGCGTTTGGGAGACGANAGCTTCCAGTAGAGGACAGGCGATCGGGCAGCACGGAGAAGACAAAGTGAATGACAACGGAGTGAGGATGCTTGAATTCTTGGGAAGCAACGAACTGATGGTGTTGAACGGTAGGAGGGAATGCGATAAGCCGGAGTTCATCAGGCAACGGGCAGTTTGCAATGAATACTTGATCCACAACTACATCCTGGTAGATAGGGGGAGCACAAAGATCCCAGAGCTGCCCGTAAGTGCGATAGATATAGGTTCGACCGACCACTTCCTCATATGGGCAAACATCGACCGATCNTGAATTGGCTTGTTTTACAACGTCGTTGCCAATCGACGAAAACCCAATCCCGATGGCAAACACCGGGGGGGGGGAGACGAGGGGGCACGGGATTGATTCCAGAAGGGACTGCCTGGTAGTGTAGAACCCTTCAGAAAACTGCTGGGAAGCGTCGAAGACGGGCAGGTGGACGCACAAGCAGCAGGAGACGGGGTGATTGAAGGGTGGGAGTCCATAGTGAGCGCAACGGCAAAAAGAGTGGTGGGAAAGAAGGTGGTACGATGTGGAGTATCGGTTAAGTGGTGGGATGACGAGCTGAAAGAAGAAATAGGGGAACGTAGAGAAGTCTTCAAGCAGTACCTGAGAGGCGTCTGAGGAAAGTTGGGAAAAGTACAGGGCCAAAACAAAACGGGTGAAGGGACTAGTGAAAAAGAACAAAAAGCGTATTTGGGACGAAGAAGTGCAGAAGGCCAACGGAGGTCTGGAGGGGAACGTCAAGCAGTTGACCAAGTGTTTGAGAAGGAGATGCATGGGCCCAAAAAGAAAAAGAGACATCGAAGGCAAACGTTGGGAACGTAGAACTAAAAAAGGAGTCCACTGAGGACGAGGTTGAGGTGTGTGTGAACAAGCTGAAGTGCCACAAAGCAAAAGGAGCGGATGGGATAGTTAACGAGTTCATGAAGTTTGGGGGGAAGGGGATGATCCAGCTGATGGTACTGCTATACAATTGGGTGTGGAAAAACGAGTATACGCCAAGTAGATGGAGAAAAGGAGTGGTTGTGAACTTGTTTAAGAAAGGAGACAAGACTGACCCAGGAAATTACAGGGGGATCACACTGCTGTTCAACACAGTAGGAAAAGTGTTCTGTAAGCTGCTGAACGATAGGATAGTGGGAGTATTGGAGAGGGAACATAGCATTAGTGAGGGCCAGGCAGGTTTCCGCAAGAAGAGGGGGTGCGTAGACCACGTATTCACGGTAGGAGAATCAAGGTAGAAAGAGGGCGGGAAAGCCGACATACTGCTTCTTCCTGGACGTGAAAAGAAAAAGGCATACGACACCGT